AATCAGAAAACTATGGAACTAAGGTGGATCTCAAGTAAGCTAACAGAAGCTCTAAGAAAGAGGGCCTGGTATCATAAATAGTTCTGCTTGGCAGAGAGGATTAGAGAAGATATATGAAAGAATTTATAACATAAAATAACCTGGACTTTTCCAGTCCAGGATTGTAATCAGTAGCGATTGCAAAAAAGTAACCACACCAGAGGATTATCTTGAGAAATACTTTGAAGGCAGAAAATGAGACTGATCTTTACTAGCAGATGGTCTATCACAGAATACTTGGGCAGGGCTCAGTTGAGAAGGTTTATGTGTGACTTGTGTGCTGGGCATTTGCTTTTCAACAATTTGAGTAGCTGACATGTAAATATTTTCTCAAAAACATTTAAAACCATACTGTCTCTGTTGTTATAGAGTCACAAACAAAATTATACAAAATTATAAGAAATATTTTAAACATTATCTTTAAAATTTAGTATTTTGAAATTTTGCAAGTTGTTTATTGGGACCAGCAGTTGGCATAATGGCTATGTCACTGGACTCCCATGTAGTTGACCACAGTTTGAGTCCCGGACCTGGTGGCTTAAACTCATGCTGGAAGGAGAATGGAGGACACATGGCCATCCCCCGGGCGGGAGATTTCTCACTTTCTGTCTCTCTGTTTTTCGCTTTCTGGAGAGCGCATGCACCCGATAGCAAAAACCTCTCTAAAAAAAAAAAAAAAATTGTTTATTAATGGTCAAGAACTATGGAGTATGAGCAAAAATTTTTTGATATGTAAAGTAACTGTTTGTGGGAAATGTAAAAATAAAATAATTAATTTTGAAAAAGTTAATGAAAATGCATATTATAAAAAACTATGAATGAACTTCAACTTTTTGCACCAAAATACGCCTGTACTTTAATTCTATTTTTCCACAAACTTTCTGAAGTCCCCTCATATATGAAGTGCTTGGAACAGTGTCAGGCATATAATAATAAGAGCTCAATAAAAGTTAACTATTGAAAGCAGACATCTGGGTTCCATTCCCAATGTCACCACTTACCCAGCATGAACTTAACATCTGTGCGACTCAGTTTCCTGAGCATAACCCGAGTGTCCACTGAATAGGCTGTCTTTTGTTTTGGTTTGGTTTTTGGTTTTTGGTTTTTTGTTTGTTTGTTTTGGGTTTTTGCCATAGGGCACATGCACTTACCAGGGAGAGATGGTGAAAGGAAAAGTGAGAAATCACCCAGGAGGGATGACCAACCACACCACAATCCCTTCTCCTCCATTCTCCTCTTGGGATTTTGGGCAACCACATACAGGCACTTGACTTGAGTTTCAAGCCACCAGGTCCAGGGCTCAAACTGCGATTGGCCATGTGCAAGTCCAGCACCTGAATCACCACGCCACCTGCTGCCCTCCCACTGCATGGGCTTTTAGGCCTGCCATCAGCATCAGTCCCTCCTCTTGGAAGCCTTCCCTACAGCCCTCCGTATTTCCCTGCGCTTGTTTCCATCCTAGCACATGTGGCACAGAAGTTAGAATTGTTTCCCCTCCCAGACTCAGAGTTCATCATGGGCAGGCAGGGGGTTGGTTCAGCTGGTGTCAGCAGAGAGTGAAGGAGTGAGCAGATGAAGGGAGCACAGTCCTTCAGGGACGGAGCTAGGGTGCTAATATCTAGGGCAGCGACCACCATACCCTGATGGTTTCTCTCCTCTTCCCCCAGATCTGTCCCTCCTGGGAAGAAGTTCATGATGCTGGTTGCCACATTAGGCACCTGCCTGGGCCTGCTGGCAGCAGCTGCAATCGCAGTAATAGGTGCTAACTCTGCCTACCTAGACATCTCCGGCATGCTGCCCATCCACTGGCGCCAAAAGAGAGATTGGATTTGGAACCAGATGCACATTGATGAAGAGAAGAACACTTCGCTGCCACATTATGTGGGCAAGGTAAGGCTTGGGTCCCAGGAAATTCCGGGGCAGGAGAAGCCATTAGCAGCTTGCCCCTAGTAATGGTGACGGTAGTGGAGGTAAACGTGATAAAGATGGTGATGAATATTGTGGTAACTGTAGGCGTAGAGGTGATGGCTGTGAGGGTGATGATTGTGATAAAGATGGTCAAAATTGTAGATGTGGTGGTGGTGGTGGGAGGTATTGGTTGACAAGGGTGTCAATGGCAGTGATGATGGAGAAGGCAAAGGTGATGATAAAGGAGTAGATGGGGAACAGTAGTGATGGTGGTGGTGATGATGGTAATGATGCTGATGATGTGGTAATGGTGATTGTGGAGTTGATGGTGATAGTGATGATGATGATGGTAATGGTGGTGGTGGTGAAAGTGACCATGGTAATGATGGTGATGGTTATAAAAGAGATGATAATGATGAGGGAAATAACAGTGGTAATGATTGTGGTTTGATGATGGTGGTGGTGGTGGTAGTGGTGGTGATCATGGGTTGACAGTGGTAGTAAAGGTGAAGGTAGTAATGGTAGTAGTGGTAGTGATGGTAAAGCAGTAGGTGGTTGTGGTGATGGCACTGGTGGTGATCATGGAGGTGATGGTGGTGTTGCTGGTGGTCATGGAAATGATAATGGTGACTAGGGAGGTGATGGTGGTAGTGATGGTGGTGGTGGTAGTCATGGAAGTGATGGTGGTGGTGGTAGTAATGATGGTGGAGGAGGCAGAGATAATGGTGAACGCTATTGTCCATTTTCTTCCAAACCTTGATTAATAAACTAGATACAGCTAATAGGGCAGAACTAGCCAAGGCTGCTACTCAATGTTCCCATTTTAGAGGTCAGGAAAAGTCTGAGCAGCCTTCTACAAAATTGTGCTGGTAACAAAGTTAATCCTTCAGACCATCATTTCTCAACTCTGGTTTATACCTCTGAATCCCCTCAAAAATCCCTTTCTCTTAGAAAGTCCCTTCTTGGTTCCCTGTGACCCCACACAGTTCCCCAAACTCCAGAAAACTCATGAGGTACTTAACTCAAGCCTGCCCTCTAAGGCAGTGCCTAGGCTCTGACTCTCACTTGCTCTTCCTTTAAAATGTGTCCATCCTCATAGGAAGGTTCCAGATTTGTGTCTGGAGACCTCTCTGAATATGCTAGGCACACACGTGCCTGTGATAAGAGACTGACTGGACCTAGAGTTGGGTCTCAGTGTCGAGATCCTGCCTCTTCTCTCTCTCCCTCTCTCTTTCTCCCTTCTTCCTTCCCTGTCCCTCTTCCCCTTTCCCTCCTCCCCTTCGGTCATGGAGGAAAGAAAGAAAGAAACTTTTTTTTTAAGTGTCCATATCTATCTTTCTAGAGCTTGGAGCTAATTTAAGTGATTGCTAAATTATCTTACCATGTCAAATTGTCATTGATGTCAAATCAATGTCATCCACTCCAAAGGGATGGCCCCAATGGCAGAATTTCCACACTCAAAGACAGCTAGATGGTTCTAGGTATTTTGAGAGCTTTCAGTAAAGAACGAAGTTTCTTTCTAGTGCAATAAAATCTCACGTCAGCTTCTTGGTATCTAAAACATTGGTTACAGGAAAGAACACATTAAGGTACTAGAAACGGAAGAGCAGTTCCAAGCACTGCACGGGGTACTGGAATGACATGGTTCCTGAACCAACAGAGCTGGCAGTCCAGAGCAGAGGTTGGCACACTGCCACCTGCAGTCCACATCTCACCCACTACCTAGCTCTGTAAATAAAGTTTTGGGGTTTTTGTGTGTGTGTGTGTTTGTTTGTTTTTTGAAGAGGTTTATTTTGCTATAGGGCGTGTGTGCTCGCCAGACAGACAGAGAGAGACAGAGAGACAGAAAGCGAGAAATCACCCCCCAAGGGGAATGGCCACACTGCAATCCCTTCTCCTCCATTCTCCTCTCGGGATCTTGGGCACGCACGCACACTTGCCCGGCGTGAGTTTTAAGCCACCGGGTCTGGGACGCAAACCGCGGTCGACTACGTGGGAGTCCAGCGACATAGCCATTACGCTAACTGCTGGTCCCTAAATAAAGTTTTATTGGAACACAGCCATATCTATTCATTACTTGGTGGCAGCTTTCATCCAACAAAGGCAAAGGTGTGCAGTTATGACAAAGATCCACAAAATGACTCACAAAGTCGAAAATATTTACCTTCTGAACATTGATAGAAATAGTGCTCCCACTCTGGTCTAGAGGGGCAGGATACATCAATAAAAGAACCCCTGAGGGCCAGCAGGTGGCATGATGGTTAATCCATGCCACTGGATTCCCATACGGCAGACCATGGTTTGAGTTTCAGACCTGGAGGCTTAAAATTCATGCTGGGTGGGATAAGCAGATGGTGTAATGATTACGTTGCTGGACTCCCACGTAGTCAACTGTGGTTTGAGTCCCAGACTTATAGCTTAAACTCACACTGGGCACATGTGCATGCATGCCCAAAATCCTGAGAAGAGAATGGAGGAGAAGGGATTGTGCTGGGGCCATTCCCCCTGGGGAGGGTGATTTCTCACTTTCTTGTCTTTTTGTCTCTGTGTCTCCAGTGAACACACACACACACCTTATAGCAAAAATTTCTCTCAAAAAAAAAAAAATCATGCTGGGTACACGTGCATGCTCAAAATCCCAAGAAAGAATGGAGAAGGGATTGTAGCATGGCTATCCCACCTGGGGAGGTGATTTCTCACTTTCCCTCTCACTGTGTCTCCCTATCTCTCTCTGGCAAGCATACATCCCCTATGACAAAAATCTAAAAACAATACAAAGAACCCAGTAAATTGTGGCGATGGGGATACTCTCTGGTAATAGAGAAAAAAGCTGGAGAATACACTTGGATGGAAGGGTCCAGTCTGGCTTTGGTACCAGAGATACCTTAGCAGCCAAAAGAAGGAGTAGGATCCACTCAGCCCCAACCACTTCTGGCTGGCTATGCCATGGACTCTTTTGACTACCAAGAATGGCTGGGGAGTTTAAATCTTCAGCCTGGCCACCCAGAAGAGAAGACATTTGGCCGGATCATATGGTCAGACCAGGACAGAGCCCTAGGAGAACAGGGGGTCCCTGACTCCCAACAAGAATGTGAGCTCTGTGTCATAGGGGAAGATGTCATCAACCCACCTACATCCTTCCCCATGGGATAAATATGCCCTGAGTCAGCCTGCCTGTGGGATGAGTCAGACCCAGCAGAAAGCGGGGGCCACCTATGACATGCGTACCCCTGACAGGGTGACCTTTCAAGACAGCAGGAAGTCCTTAGGCCTGCCATCACCTGCAACAGCACTTGCTTGGCATGTGGCATGGGACTTGGGGACAGAGAGGCCATATGTGGTCCCCATCCTGGGAAGAAACAAAGGACTTGTGTGAGGCAAGACAGTGTTTCAAGGATCATCCCAAGCTCCCAAGGGTGAAATCCAGGAGAGAAAGTCCCTGTTTATAAAGGACAAAGTCAGAGTCTGGAGCCTGTGTTTACAGAGTGGACAAGGGGAATCAGCCCAGCACAACTTCTGAAACCACAAATATGGGTCAGCTTGGCTTTTGGCATTGAGACATCAGATTCTAATATAGCAATATTAGAAAGGGGGGAGACTCCCAGAAACTCATAAATCCCTAGTCTAGTCATGAAACTAACACCAAGCCATTGTAATAGAGGGAATTTATATTTCTACAAAACATCTGCCTAGTGTTCCCCAAAACTGTCAAGGCCATCCAGTCCGTAATGAAACTCTGGCCAGCTGTGATGGTATAACAGTAACACAAGGCTCTATGATGCTGAGGCTTCCTGGGAAGGTTCAGAGTTTGCATCCTGGGGCCTCCTTGTGCCCAAGATTCTGATTTGCTGAAGTTGAGGGTGGACCCCTGCATGAGGACTCTGCTGGGGCTCTCTCTTTCAAGAAAGAAATAAATAAACTTAGAGGAAACAAGCATACTTTAAAAAAAGAAAAAAAGAAAGAAAGAAAGAAAGTCTGAGAAACTGTCATAGCCAAGAGAGGCTTAAAGCAACATGATGACTGATTGCAATCTGGTATCCTGCTGGGACCCTGGAACAGAAAAAGAACAAGAGGGGAAGAAAGCAAGGAAATCTTTGTAAATTTAGACAGGGGTCCCCAGCTTCCAGATTAGTCCACAGCGTGTTAAGGATCAGGCCACACAGCAGGAGGTGAGTGAGCAAAGCGTCATCTGTATTTACAGCCACTCCCCATTGTTCACATTACCACCTGACTCTTCCTCCTGTTAGAGCAGCAGGGGCATTGGATTCTCATAGGAGTGTGAACCCTATTGTAAACTACACATGCAAGGGATGGAGGCCAAGTGCTCTCATAAACCATCCCTCTCCCCTTCCCCTCTCACCCCAGTACATGGAAAAATCATCTTCCATGAAACCAATCCCTGGTGCCAAAATGTTGGGGACCACTGAAGTAAGGCACTTGAGTTAATAATAATAATGTATCAATATTGGTCCATTGATAACAACAAATGAGCTACAGCAGTGTAAGGTGTGAATATTAGAGGAAAGGGAAGGAGGCATGTAGGAACTCTCTGCACCAGCTTCTTGATTTTTCTATAAATCTGAAGCTGTTTTAAAACGAAAGTCAATTTAATTAAAAAAAAAAAACTGAAGGGAAGGAAAACAGAAACTTAGATTCACATGAAATCGTGTGCAGAATGCCAATAAAATAGAGCCATGCCGACTAGTTCTCCCACCCCTGTCCTTGTGGGTTCTAATGCACCCACCAGAACCAAGTCTGAAACTTCCATCTTATTCTTCCAACTCACCCAGTGCCCTAGACTGTCCCTTCTCTTTGAGTCTCCACTGTCCCTGCAGCTAACAGTGCTGCCTGCCTGAGAGGGAAGGTCCTCACTCCCTGTCTCCACTCTCACCTTCCACACTCTTCTCTGGCTTTTATATGTGGTTTCTCACTCAATCACCCAACTGTTGCTGTTCTCACTAAGGACTCCAATGACTTCCCTGCTACTAAACTCTGGGAACACTCTCTAAACCACAAGGGATTTGACCACCCCCTTTTTGATTCTCCTCCTTCTCTCTTTAGACCTGACACTTTCCTGGTTCTCCTCCAGCCTTTCTGATGAGTCCTTATTAGATACTTTCATGCTAGGCTCTTGCTCCATCAACTCTTAAATTCTACTCTCCCTCAGAATCCCAGCCTGTGGGGTTTCAAACCTAGGTCCAAGAGCCAGTGCTACCTCTGTGCTCCCAGCATGAGAGACCTGGCACCTTGTAGACAACCAATTTATATTTCTGAATTAAATTGAATTCTAATATGTGAACCATCTATGAAAGTGCCATTTTATGTGTTTGAAATGCTCTTACTTTATGTTCCTAATATTCTGTTTCAAAGGTTCTATAGATGGAATGTTCAGAGTCTAACCTTTTAATATCCTTTAACTTGTGGATCATGAATAATACCTTGCATTTATTGAGAGTCCTATTCTGTGCTAGTTACTTTACATTATTTTCCAAATCTTATTCCATAGGACATTAATAGTATGTGTTAAAAGAAGAATGGTTCAGTGGCCTAATAAGTATGGGAGATTCAGAGTTAAAGCTTATTAGAATTCTTTTCTGCAGGGCTATACACATATCTCCAAGAACAGTGCATTTTATGTACCATTCCAAAACTAAATTGACCAGAACTAGCAGTGTGCTGAGAAGTGCTCAACAACTGACTCCCTAGGGAAAAGGATTCTGACTTACAGCATTTGTCAGCTTCCATGGTGTAAATACTGTCACCGTGTCTGATTTCAAGCTACCAACATGATGTCACTAAAAGCAGAGTTGGAAGGAGACATGCAAGAACACATCAGAATTTAGCATTTCCATCAAAAGAAGGGACTTCAAAAAGTTCATGAGAAATGGAATTAAAGTACAAGTTTATTTTGGCACACACAAAAAAAGTAAATCCATGCATAGTTTTTACTTTTTTCTTTTTTTCATTTAATTCGTTATTCATATATTGTCATAGGGCATGTGCACTCAACAGAGAAAGTGAGAAAGAAAGAGAAAATGAGAAAGGACCCCTAGGGAGGATGGTCATGCCTCAATCCCCTCTCCTTCATTCTCATCTTGGGATTTGGGTCACGCACACAAACATGCCCAGCGTGTTGTCAAGCTCCTGGGTCTGGGACTCGAACCACATAGTTGGCCATGTAAGATCCAGCTGCCTTAACCTCCACACCACCTGCTGGCCTTAGTTTTTTAGCAATATGCATTTTTTGTTAACTTTTTGAAGACCCCTTTTACTGATACAACATATATAAATAACCTCTAGAACACAGTAAAATCATAAGGAAGTGATCAATTCTGAGTATTTGTTACTTTCATTTTTAATATGGCTTACTTCACTGTATGTTTGTATAATTTAATCTTTTTCAGGTTTTTTTTTCATTTGTAATTTAATTTTTAATAATAGCTGTGTTTAATAGCCAGTTCATAAATACTAGTGAAAACTTACAACATTGGCTCTCGAAACCATGCTGCCGTAATCCCACTCCTGCACATCTCTGGTGGGGGTGCCATTTTTGCACAGAACAGCAAAGGAGACCAGGGTTTCCTGGAACTCATTTTCAAAAGTACTCTTCTTAACTCCTTAGAGCAAAATAATGCCAACACAATGTTATTTCCATTTTACAGATGAGGCAACTTCAAGGCAGAGTGATTTGAAGGCTAAGTGACTTCTATAAGCACAAGCTTCCCTTGCCCCCCAATGGCACCAAGTATATTCTTCCACTCAAAAATGCACTCTAGGGCCATCTAGTGGCATGGAGGTTAAAGCAGTTGGATCCAACATGACCAACTCTACTGTTCAAATCCCAGACCTGGTGGCTTGAAAATCATGCTGGGCACACACTTGCATACCCAGAATTCAAAGAAGAGAAAGAGGGGATTGCAGCATAGCCATTCCCCTTGTGGGGTAATTTCTCACTTTCTCTCTTTCTCTCTCATGCTCAGTCTCTCTCTGGCAAAACTTTGAAAAAACTTTAGGGGACCAGCAGATGGCATAGTGGTTGTATCATTGGACTCCCATATGGTTGACCGTAGTTCAAGTCCTGGACTCTGTGTTTTAAAACTCATAGTATGTGTTAAAAGAAGAATGGTTCAGTGGCCTAATAAGTATGGGAGATTCAGAGTTAAAGCTTATTAGAATTCTTTTCTGCAGGGCTATACACATATCTCCAAGAACAGTGCATTTTATGTACCATTCCAAAACTAAATTGACCAGAACTAGCAGTGTGCTGAGAAGTGCTCAACAACTGACTCCCTAGGGAAAAGGATTCTGACTTACAGCATTTGTCAGCTTCCATGGTGTAAATACTGTCACCGTGTCTGATTTCAAGCTACCAACATGATGTCACTAAAAGCAGAGTTGGAAGGAGACATGCAAGAACACATCAGAATTTAGCATTTCCATCAAAAGAAGGGACTTCAAAAAGTTCATGAGAAATGGAATTAAAGTACAAGTTTATTTTGGCACACACAAAAAAAGTAAATCCATGCATAGTTTTTACTTTTTTCTTTTTTTCATTTAATTCGTTATTCATATATTGTCATAGGGCATGTGCACTCAACAGAGAAAGTGAGAAAGAAAGAGAAAATGAGAAAGGACCCCTAGGGAGGATGGTCATGCCTCAATCCCCTCTCCTTCATTCTCATCTTGGGATTTGGGTCACGCACACAAACATGCCCAGCGTGTTGTCAAGCTCCTGGGTCTGGGACTCGAACCACATAGTTGGCCATGTAAGATCCAGCTGCCTTAACCTCCACACCACCTGCTGGCCTTAGTTTTTTAGCAATATGCATTTTTTGTTAACTTTTTGAAGACCCCTTTTACTGATACAACATATATAAATAACCTCTAGAACACGGTAAAATCATAAGGAAGTGATCAATTCTGAGTATTTGTTACTTTCGTTTTTAATATGGCTTACTTCACTGTATGTTTGTATAATTTAATCTTTTTCAGGTTTTTTTTTCATTTGTAATTTAATTTTTAATAATAGCTGTGTTTAATAGCCAGTTCATAAATACTAGTGAAAACTTACAACATTGGCTCTCGAAACCATGCTGCCGTAATCCCACTCCTGCACATCTCTGGTGGGGGTGCCATTTTTGCACAGAACAGCAAAGGAGACCAGGGTTTCCTGGAACTCATTTTCAAAAGTACTCTTCTTAACTCCTTAGAGCAAAATAATGCCAACACAATGTTATTTCCATTTTACAGATGAGGCAACTTCAAGGCAGAGTGATTTGAAGGCTAAGTGACTTCTATAAGCACAAGCTTCCCTTGCCCCCCAATGGCACCAAGTATATTCTTCCACTCAAAAATGCACTCTAGGGCCATCTAGTGGCATGGAGGTTAAAGCAGTTGGATCCAACATGACCAACTCTACTGTTCAAATCCCAGACCTGGTGGCTTGAAAATCATGCTGGGCACACACTTGCATACCCAGAATTCAAAGAAGAGAAAGAGGGGATTGCAGCATAGCCATTCCCCTTGTGGGGTAATTTCTCACTTTCTCTCTTTCTCTCTCATGCTCAGTCTCTCTCTGGCAAAACTTTGAAAAAACTTTAGGGGACCAGCAGATGGCATAGTGGTTGTATCATTGGACTCCCATATGGTTGACCATAGTTCAAGTCCTGGACTCTGTGTTTTAAAACTCACACCAGGCACATGTGTGTGCGTGCCCAAAATCCCAAGAGAATGGAGGAGAAGGGATTGTGGCGTGGCCATACTCCTGGTGGGGTGATTTCTCACTTTCTGTCTCTCTGTCTCTGTCTCTCCAGCGAGCACACACGTCCTATAGCAAAAATCTCTTGCCCCCAAAATTTAAAAATTTTTAGAAAAACTAAGAAATGTGTTCTAAGCAGCTACTCTGTCCCAGCCACTACTTTAGGCATATTGGGAACTGCTCAGCAACTCACACCAACGTGGTGCTTGCAGGGACCTGGTGACCATTCAGAGGTTTTAGTTAAAAACTTCAGTGTCGGGGACAGCAAGTGACATGCTGACTAAGGTGTTGGACTCCCACATGGTTGACTGCGCTTTGAGGCCCAGAGCTGGTGGCTTGTTTTCTCACTTTCCCTCTCTGTCTCTTTCTGGTGAATGCACCTGCCCTACAGCAAATATAAAACAATAATCATTAATAAATATAATTAAATAAATAATTCTTAAAAAAAAAAATGTCCTTGCTGTCATCTTTAGGACCCTTCACGTGCACCCACACACACATGCACATGTACATTCATGCACACAGACACACCCTATGTACATGCCCGCTTACATTATAACTCACGCACACACACACACACACACACACACACACGGCCACCACTGCCTATTCCCAGCTAGTGTTTCCTCTTTCCTAGATCAAGTCGAGCGTGAACAGCAAGAACGCCAAGTACGTGCTTAAAGGAGAATCTGTTGGCAAGGTCTTCCGGGTCAATGCAGACACAGGGGACGTGTATGCATTTGAGAGGCTGGACCGGGAGAAGATCTCTGAGTACCACCTTGTGGCCCTCATTGTGGACAAGGACAGCAACCGAAACCTGGAGTCTCCTTCCAGCTTCACCATCAAGGTTCATGATGTGAATGACAACTGGCCTGTGTTCACACACAGGCTGTTCAACGCATCTGTGCCCGAGATGTCGGCTGTGGGTACGTGCGGTCTGTCCCTCTCCCTTCTTTATCCCCAGCCTGGAGGCACCTCTCACATCAGCCATTTCATGCCTGGGCTGGCGTTTGGTGAGTTTAGAGCAATGGTTGTAATGCCTATGTTGCCATTGTATATGGCGTGAAAGAAATCCAATTCCTGAAGACTGAGCCCTGACTCTAATCACAGACTGATCCCTTGTCCTGACCATGGAATGAGCCCTGACCCTAGTCATAGACTGAGCCCTGGTCCTGACCATGGATGGAGCCCTGATCCTGACCGTGGACTGAGCCCTGACCCTAGTTATAGACCAAACTCTGACCCTAAGAATTGATTAAGCCCTGGTCCTGGCCATGCACTGAGCCCTGACCCTAGTCATAAACTGAGCCCTGACCTTAGTCATAGACTGAACCCTGATCCTGACCATGGACCAAGTCTTGACCTTAGTCATAGACTGAGCCCTGATCCTGATCATACACTAAGCCTTGGCCATCAGACACACACACCTATCTTATTACTCTTTGGAACAAGCCCCACCCGCTGTCTCCAACTCTCAGGACTGGCACACCTAGAATACTGCCTTTGCATGTGAAGAATGCTAAGCCCTACCACCAAGGGAAGAAGAGTCATTTCCAGGGAACGTGTCAGAGCCGGGGTGGGGAACAGAGCCCTTACCCCGAAGTGCATCACCAGCCCAGTTTGGGTTCAGAAAGTTACTACTCCTTTCTCCTTTTTGCCCCAGTCCCCAGAAGGTGCCAAAAAAGGGCTTCCTCCTTCTTCATTCATCACATTCCCTCAGTCCAGAATCCTGCCCAGGGCCCTGGGACTAGACTTTTCTATTAAGTATAAGGACACTGGATTGAAAGGCATTAGAGAAATGACTACCCCTTAAGGCATGTTCCCACTCCCTCGTTTCTACCCCTCCAGGAGAGGGAGAAACAGCCTGTTACTCTCTTCAGTTTCTCCCTCTGACCCCAACCCACTGCCCCTCTCCTATTTTCCCCATGAATACAAACCCTCCTGTTCTCCTTGTCCTCTCCTTGCTGGACCCCTCCCCACTGCTAGCTCTGTGCCTCCTGCAGGCTTCTCAGAAGACAAAGCAGCCTCTAGAGAAAAGGATCAGGTCCTGGGGGAGGTAGGAATAGGCACAGCCTGAGCCCCGTTTTCCCATCCAGGAAAGGGGTGAGTTCCCACAATCACAAGACAGCAACCCCAGGATTCTCTCTCCACAGGGACCTCAGTCCTCCGTGTGACAGCAACGGATGCAGACGATGCCACTGTTGCAGACCACGCCTCTGTCTTGTACCAAGTCCTGAAGGGGGAAGAGTATTTTGCCATCGACAACTCCGGTCTGTGTGACTACCCATCCTGGGCAGGCACCAGCCTGGGCTGGGGAGGTGGATAATCCAGGTGGAGGTGCTGAGGGAAGTCCAGGCTAGCAGGACCGCCCCATGGAATTGGTTGGTGTCACACGTAAAGTCAAGGTGGCTGGTTGGGAAAGAAGGAAGCAGACAGCTGTCCAAGACATAGACTCAAGTCCAGGGAACAAAATCAGGATCATGTTCCCAAGCAGTGAACAAGAGGCAGCAGGTTAGCAGCTCCGTGGATGGGATCAGACAGATCTGGTTTCCAAACCCATCCCACTACTGACCCTGCACAAGTCAACTAACCTCTGCTAGCCTTAGTTCCCTTACCTAGAAAATGGGAAAGTTTATCTTCATCTTGTGTAGTAGCTGTGAAGTTAGATAACGTATAGAGAGAGTGTGGCCACAGTAATTGTTTCACTCAAGGTCTGAATCTTGGGAGCAAGACAGAAATCCAGCTGGTCAGGCCAGGACACACTGTCTTTCAGAGGGATGGCAAATACACAGCACAGACACCAAATATGGTGCACCAGGGCAGACATCACAAATCTATCACAGAGCACTTTCACTCTGAGCCTGGATGTGACCTCGTGATCTTTCCCGACACAATACTCCAGGTGGCTAGGGCCAACATTGGACCCAACATTTGGCCAGCATTGGCCTCATTGGGCAAGGCATGTAGGTAGCGGGTCAGAGATCGATGGTTCTCAGCCCTGGCTACACAGTGCAATCACCTGGGGAGCTTTTCAGTCAAGTTCTTTCTGGGTAGGGAGGCATCAGCATTTTCTAAAAGCTCCCCAGCTAACATGGCTCCTGCTGTAACACTTTTTACAGGACTCATTTTCACAACCACCAAAAACTTGGACCGGGAGATGCAGGCCAGGTACGAGATCGTGGTGGAAGCGCGAGATGCCCAGGGCCTCCGGGGGGACTCAGGCACAGCCACGGTGCTGGTCACTCTGCAGGACGTCAATGACAACTTCCCCATCTTCACCCAGAGTGAGCCCCTCTCAGGGCCCTGGGGAGGGTGGGGATTAAAGTAGTACAGGCTCAGTGACTCAGGGGCTATGGAGGAGGTGCCCCAAATCCCTCTTCCTCTCTCCTACCCCAAAGTGTGTCTAAGTTTTCAAGAAGCCCTTTTGGTGCAGTTGGGGGCTCTGCATTCATCAATGTACCATAGTCCCAAGGCTGCCAGCCAGTCCCTGCCACGATCATTTCACAGACAAGAGGGAAATCTCACTCCCTACTAGGTGCCACCACTTCTCCCAGAGTCCAGAGTCCACTCTAGACATGAGTGGTTTCATCCAGCTCCCACGGGCTCAGGAAAATCCAGGCCCTGAGACTCAGGCTCCAGCTAGGAAGTCCCTACAAGCCAGTGAGCAGGGGAGCAGACAAGCCCCACATCCAGAGCCCAGGCCAGGCCCCAAACCACCTACAGCCTAGTTCTTCCCCTAAAAAAAATGCCTAAGAGCTTTTCCAGGCCCTGACTGGGGCTGAGAAGGAAACACAGAGGGTCCTGCCCACTGACATCCTCTGGTGCTGGAGTCGTCATTCAGAGGCTCGTCCACCTCAAAGGCAGACCCATTCCCCTCAAGCATAAGCTGTGGAGCATAAGCTCCTTGAAGGCAGGGCTCATCCTTCTTGTCAACTGATAGGCCCTCTAGCAAAGTGCCTAACAAAACTTGTTGGATGGATAAATGGATAGACTAATGGACTGATGGTTCCACAAAACCTCTTTGCCTTAGGGCCCAGAATCCCAAGAGTATTGTTACTATTTTATGCCCATTTCCTGTATCAAAATAGAATAGCATGAAGGGAGACTCGCCTTGACTCTCTCATTAACCCAGTGCCCTTTGGGGTGCTCTATTTGCATCAGCCAAGTACACCTTTGCTGTGCCTGAGGACACCCGGGTGGGCAGCCCCGTGGGCTCTCTGTTTGTGGAGGACCCAGACGAGCCCCAGAACCGGATGACCAAGTACAGCATCGTGCAGGGCGAGTACAGGGACACTTTCGCCATTGAGACGGACCCCACCCGCAACGAGGGCATCATCAAGCCCATGAAGGTTTGTAGATCTGTAGCAATGACGTAATGTGGGGTTTGGCATCTGTAGGACCTGCCCCAGGGTCAGAGGCCACCAACAGAGAATGTGCTGGGTCAGATCAAAGCTGGCCATGTGCTCATGGAGACTGACCCTGGAGCTGGGAAAGGGGGCCCTGAAAGAAGAGTTCATGTCAAACTGGGTGAGACTGGCATCGGATCCTGAGGAAAGGATTTAGGTGTGAATAGTTAATTGGGAGGTAATTCCAAGTACCTCCAATAATACATGAAAAGAAGGAAGTTAATCCTGGGCTCACTAATGAGCCGCTAGCACTGTGGGTAAATGGAACTGATCACACTGGGGACATCCGTGGGGACAGTAGGAAACATCTCAGAGTTGCAGCCTGAGGAGGTGGTAGCTGGGGTATGTATACACCAACTCTCTGTAGTACTGACTGAGGGCTGTTGCTGGGGCCATTGATTACCCAGAACTCTCTGGCCTGCCCTGTGTCCCGGGCTGCAGGAAGCCATCAGCAGGCAAAGAAACAATGAGTTCCTGGGCTATGGCTATGGGTGGCCATGGACAGCCACTGGGAGTCAGAAGTCAGACTCACTGAATCTGGAAGAGGTAAGAGAGGTCCTGGCAGGGCTGTGAAATGCCTCCGGAATGTCCGTGAGTCTGCTGATATGAAATGGGATACAGTCGAAGATACCAGCCAGTCACTCTCTTGGTGTTCTTGGAAGTATCACTTCCTCAGGCCACAGGCCCCTCACCTGTAAAGTGGGTGTCCACCTCGTACTAGCTTGCAGGGTTGCTGTGAGGGTTTCTCACCACATGCTTAGCTCAGAACATGTGCTCTCCATTCCTTTTTCTGACACATGCAGCCCCTGGACTATGAGCGCATCCGGCAATACAGCTTCACTATCGAGGCCACAGACCCCACCATCAACCTCCGATACCTGAGTGGGCCCTCCATCAGAAACATAGCCCGTGTCATCATCAACGTCACAGATGTAGATGAGCCCCCCGTCTTCCAGAAGCACTTCTACCACTTCCAGCTAATGGAAAACCAGAAGAAACCTCTGATTGGCTCAGTGCTGGCCACGGACCCAGATGGGACTCGGCACGCCATCGGGTAAGGGGGCAGGCGCGTTGGTGATGATTACATGACAATCGTGGCAGGGAAACTGGTTTCTCTTGGCACCTACACGGGAAGTGACAAGGAAGAACTAGAAGCCCAAGCTTTCCCACTAACCCACTTGTTCTGCTGGGATCTGGGCACCCCAGCCTTGCACAGTACTGCTGTCCAGGGCTGCTTGTCTTCTGTTCTACCTTGAAGTCTTGTTCTTTGGACCATGTCTCCCATCAGGACCCACATAGTGAGATCTGACAGTCAAGAGAGCAGCCAGTCAGATGACATACCCAAAGCCCCTTCTCTAGAAGTCTTATTAAATCTTTCTTCCCCTGGGGCTGCCAGGTGGCGTGGTAGTTAAAGGTGAAGGACTCTCACATGGCCATCCATGGTTCAAGTCCTGGGCCTGTTGGCTTTCTTTTTCACTTTCCCTCTCTTTCTCTCTCTGATAAAACTTGAAAATAATAATAATAATAATAAAGTTAAATAAAATAATTATTTTAAAAAATCAGTCTTCCCCAAAACATGAAAATAAGAAGTATTCATTTTGTACAGCAAAACCATCCAAAGAACTACAAAGAAAATCTAGGGCTGTCTCCATGCCTAGTGGTTAAAGAAGAAGGATCCTACATCTCTGACCATAGTTCAGGTCCCAACTCCAGCTTCAGAAACACACTGGGCACATGCATGCCCAGAATCCAGACAGGGTGGAGAAAGGGAGGCGAAGGGATTAAAGTGTGATTATACCCCACTGAGAAGTGTTTTCTCTCTCTTCATCTCTCCCCCATCTCCTTGAGCAAGTGTAGTGCCCTCTGGCAATTAAAAAGATAAAAGAGAAGTCAGTAGGTAATGTGGTGGTTAAGGCACTGGATTGCCACATGGCCGACCATGGTTTGAGTCCCAGACCTGGCATCATGTGCATGCATACCCTCAATCCCAGGACAATAGTGAAGGGATTGCAGCAATGCCACCACCCCTGGGGGAATATTTCTCACTTGCCCCTCTCTGTCTCTCTCCAGCACACATCCTATGACAAAAACCTAAAAAAGAAAAAAAAGATAGCCACTGCTCCCAAATAACTCATGATAAAGGCTTCATGACTATACATACATATAGAGACATTCATGGCACATTTGTTATTTGTTTCATTTTGGTGTTTGACAATCGTGGCAGGGAAACTGGTTTCTCTTGGCACCTACACGGGAAGTGACAAGGAAGAACTAGAAGCCCAAGCTTTCCCACTAACCCACTTGTTCTGCTGGGATCTGGGCACCCCAGCCTTGCACAGTACTGCTGTCCAGGGCTGCTTGTCTTCTGTTCTACCTTGAAGTCTTGTTCTTTGGACCATGTCTCCCATCAGGACCCACATAGTGAGATCTGACAGTCAAGAGAGCAGCCAGTCAGATGACATACCCAAAGCCCCTTCTCTAGAAGTCTTATTAAATCTTTCTTCCCCTGGGGCTGCCAGGTGGCGTGGTAGTTAAAGGTGAAGGACTCTCACATGGCCATCCATGGTTCAAGTCCTGGGCCTGTTGGCTTTCTTTTTCACTTTCCCTCTCTTTCTCTCTCTGATAAAACTTGAAAATAATAATAATAATAATAAAGTTAAATAAAATAATTATTTTAAAAAATCAGTCTTCCCCAAAACATGAAAATAAGAAGTATTCATTTTGTACAGCAAAACCATCCAAAGAACTACAAAGAAAATCTAGGGCTGTCTCCATGCCTAGTGGTTAAAGAAGAAGGATCCTACATCTCTGACCATAGTTCAGGTCCCAACTCCAGCTTCAGAAACACACTGGGCACATGCATGCCCAGAATCCAGACAGGGTGGAGAAAGGGAGGCGAAGGGATTAAAGTGTGATTATACCCCACTGAGAAGTGTTTTCTCTCTCTTCATCTCTCCCCCATCTCCTTGAGCAAGTGTAGTGCCCTCTGGCAATTAAAAAGATAAAAGAGAAGTCAGTAGGTAATGTGGTGGTTAAGGCACTGGATTGCCACATGGCCGACCATGGTTTGAGTCCCAGACCTGGCATCATGTGCATGCATACCCTCAATCCCAGGACAATAGTGAAGGGATTGCAGCAATGCCACCACCCCTGGGGGAATATTTCTCACTTGCCCCTCTCTGTCTCTCTCCAGCACACATCCTATGACAAAAACCTAAAAAAGAAAAAAAAGATAGCCACTGCTCCCAAATAACTCATGATAAAGGCTTCATGACTATACATACATATAGAGACATTCATGGCACATTTGTTATTTGTTTCATTTTGGTGTTTGATTTTATTTATTATTATTATTATATTATTTTTGATCCTGCCAAGCCCATTTCATCGATACTAGCTTTTCTGTCTTACCTACACTCTTCTCCTCTGCCCTCTGGAACAACAACAACAAAAATGTAGTTCTAACTCTTACCTCTTAGGGCCACATAATATTTGATAGAAGTATGAATTAAATTTAATTTTATTGTATTCCAGATGGGTAGACAATTGTGCCATCATCATGTATTAAATAAGTAATCATTTCCCCATCTTTATTATAGACTAAGTTCCCCTTATACCTGAATCTATTTCTCAATTCTCTATTGTCGTATCCTGGGGCAGAGCCCTTCTAGTTTATTATAGCAGCTTTATACTAAATTTGAGTTTGTATAAAACAAGTCTCTCTCTTGCTGTTTTTATTTATGTTGTGTAATATTTAGGTATTCTTAAACATTCTTTTTATATATACTTTAAAAGTCTTTTATTTAATGTCTTCTAAAATATTAGACTCCTAATGAGAATTGTGTTTATATATCAATTTTGGAAGAGTTCTTGTTTTCTAGGTACTAGGTCTTCTTATCAAGGACAAAATATGTTCTTCCACTTTGGTCATTTCTCATAAATTTGGGAACTATTCTGTTTCCAAATAGTCTGTAATTATCATTTTTGTTTTTTCTAAAATCCAAGGGTTTATTTAAGAGATGTTTTTTTCTTTTCAATTGCAAGTGGTAGGATATTTTTTATTTTGCTTTAGCTTGTCTGTGATATAATACAACTGTATTTGTGTCCATTTTTTTTCTAGAATAGCTGCTTTTGCTTTGTGGATTTTACTTTTTCTGTTCAGTTAACAAAGGTTTATAACTATTTCACGTTATGGCTTGTCACTTTTGTCCCTATGAAATCACTCGATTTGTTCCTTTTAAACATTTTGCCTTCAATTCTGTGTTGCCTGATGTTAAGTTTGTCAGTCCTGTTTTCTCGTTATTTATACTTGCCTGATAACTTTTCCAGCCTTTACTTTTAACTTTTCTAGGTCACTTGGCATCAATTGTCTCTTGAAAATAGAACACGGTTGTCTTTGTTTTTTAATCTAAACTGAGATGCTTTAACCTATATACACTTTTCATCAAATGGCATGTTTGATCTTACTTCTTTTATCTTATTTCATATTTACCATTTCTCAGATATAATGGCTTTTTTTTCCCCTTCATCTTTGCTATATAGTCTATTTTTTTCTCCTACCTATTTTAATGGAGTACATCATTTTTTTTTATTTCTGCCAGTGTGCTTACTTCTACCTGGAAACTTCAAAATGTTTTATTGGACCTGTATTTTCTAGTTCAAAATATCACACACTGGGACTAGCAGGTGATGTAGTGCTTAAGGTACTGGACTCCCACATGGCCAACAATGGTTCGAGTCCCTCACCTGGCGGCCTGCTTTCTCATTTTCTCTCTCTCTCTTTCTCTCTCTAGTGAGCACATGTGCCCTGTAGCAAATTAAAATAATAATAAATAAGATTAGATAAATAACTCTAAAAAAAAATCACAAACACACACACACCATTTCTGCCTTATATATGATAAATAAACCAATACAAAGAATTGATCATTTTAAACAGTCATTTTAATTCCTCATAAATCAGACTTTACTTTATATTAAGATATATGTTAGTGGCTCCAGCAAGTGGCATGGTGGTTTAAGCTGTTGGACTCCCACATGGCTGACCACAGTTCAAGTCCCATATATGGTGGCTTGAAAAATCATGCCAGATGCATGTGTATGCATGCCCAAAATCCCAAGAGGAGAATGGAGGAAAAGGGATTGCCACATGGCCATCACTCCTTGGGGGTGATTTCTCACTTTGCCTCTCACTGTCTCTCTCCTGCAAACACACTCAACCTATGGCAAAAAAACCTGGGTAAAAAGAAAAAAAGAAAAAGATACTTGTTAGTTAGATGTGATAACTTTTTTTTTTTTTTGAGAGGTTTTTGCTATAGGGCACTTGTGCTCACCAGAAAGACAGAGACAAAGAGACAGAAAGCGAGAAGTCCCCCCCACAAGGGGGATAGACACACTGCAATCTCTTCTCCATTTTCCTCTCGGAATCTTGCGCACGCACACACACGCACCGAGTGTGAGTTTAAGCCAGCGGGTCTGGCACTCAAACCGTGGTCGACTACATGGGAGTACAGCAAAATAGCCATTATGCTAACTGCTGATCCCTAGATGTAATAACTTTTGAAAACAAAAGCCCAGGACCCATTTTTGTAGGTGACATACTTCCTGAGCTCTTGAATCTTTACAAATATCTTAGTAATTTTGCCTTCCTATTTTAATAACACTAGATGTACCCATATAATTCTCAGATCATAAACATGTCCCTTCAAAATACTATCAAGATATTCCAGCATTCAATTTAGCAAAAATAGCTGGGGCGAGTCTGATTTTTCTTTCTCCACAAGGACTTTATATTTTTTTTTTGTCTGCAATTTTTTCTGTTATTTTTTACATAGCCTTGAAATTCAACACTGTGATCAAGATATGCCTAAATATTGTTCTTTTTGTAAATTATGCCTCATATCAATGGCATATCTAATCTGTAGACTTGGGCCTTTCATCAGAAAATATTCTTTTTCTTATATCCGTTGTTATTTCTTCTGTTCTATTTGTTCTGGAATTTTTCTCAGTAGTAGCAGCTTTCTTTCCTACGTGTGTGTGTGTGTGTGTGTGTGTGTGTGTGTGTGTAAAATAAGTGTGTGTATATGCATACGCACACACACACACATAGTCAAGTATCACTTAATAACAAGGGAATATTCTGGAAAATACATCATTAGGCAATTTCCTTGCTGTGCAAACGTCACAGAGTGCACTTACACAAACCTTGTAGGCATACATAGGTTAGATGGTATAGCCTATTGCTCCACAGCATACATGTAGTCCATTGTTGACCAAAAGGCTGGCATGTGACTGTGTGTGTGTTCACACATGTGTGTACTCATCTCCTCCTAACTTGATTTCTCGAAGAATTTTTTCAAATTTTTATTTCATTAAACCAGCCTAAACTGTAGTACAGTGTCACCTGCTCAGCTCTGAAAGTACTATTGGTGGTTTTAGGTGCCACCTTAACTCCAATGACAGTGGTATCACTAAGACCAAGTCCTAGTCCCTCTGTGTTGCACAGGTCTGCTCATGGCTCTGGGTGGCAGGTGCAGTGAGCAGTGAGAGAGAAGGATAGAGAAGGAGGCAGGGGGTAGGCCCTGAACACCTTGGTCTGTCATGCTGAGGAGACTGGACTCAGCCAAGAGCAATGGCAAATCATGACGCTCTCTCCCCTGGGCAGATACTCCATCCGCGGAACCAGTGACAAGGGCAAATTCTTCCAGATATCCAAACAAGGAAACATTTACAACGAGAAAGAACTGGACAGAGAAGTCTACCCTTGGTATAACCTAACTGTGGAGGCCAAAGAACTGGATAACGGTGAGTGGTGGCCACATCTACCAGGGATCTGGGTTCTTTCCCTTTTCAATCCTTCATTCAGGGTCTCTGAAGGTGTTATACATACTGCTGAAATACCTGTCTGTTGGAATGCCATAGGGCTTCCGTACCCACGTGTGGTCCCTGAACCAGCAGCCTCTGCATCACCTGAAACCTCAGTTGAGACCCTCAGGACCCACCCCAACACTGAATCAGATCTCATGGGCATAGTAGTTTGAGAAGCACTGACATAAACAGTGTACCAATGTTCCTAGGTGAGAATTCCCTCAGGTACCTACACAAAGAGCTTCTCAGACTCCTGCCTGGAAATTCTGAGAAGGACTGTGCATTTATCAAGAGCCACGTGATTCTTAATATCTTGGATATTTAGAAAATGTAAACATTTTTAAATAATAAAAATAAAGAAAAAAAAGAAAATGCTCCTTTGGAGGGTGTTTAAGCACCAGTTAATGGGTTGAATTCAAACTCTGACACAATTTCCAACTCTGAAATTTTTAAGGTCTCCAGAAATTGTGCCATTTTTGCCAGAGGAAAGGGCACGTGTTGGGGTTCTGCATCCTTTACCATTATGAGAAAATCACAACTGCCCTCCAGGAGAGGGATTAATATTCCCACTGTACCCAGGACCCCACCAGGGCCCAGAGAGGAGGTGACTGGGCCAAGGCCCCACTGGTGCTATCCTGCTCCCTGCTGGGCCCACCCAGACCCTCACTTCTCCTGACATGGCAGCTATGCCCTAACTTTGGATGGACTCCAGATCAGTCTTTGCCCCCTTTATTCCACCCAACCTCATTTACATAATTTTTTGATTAAAATGTTTTAATGCTGAAAACATAGAAAAGAGGAAGAAAATAATGCCTCTATAATGCCATCATGCAGAAACAATTACTGCTCACTCTTCAGTGTCTTCTCTCTGTACACATCGTTACGTATGGAAGATCATTATAGAGAGAACATGCATTTGTATAAAATGCCATATCTTGCATTTTTTAAATATTTAATTTTATTTATTACTATTATGTTTTAATTTGCTATGGGGTGCATGTGCTTACCAGAGAGACAGAAAGAAAGTGAGAAAGCAAGCTGTCAGGTCTGGGACTCAAACTGCCATCGTCTACATGGGAGTCCAGGACTTTAACCACCACACTACCTCTTGGCCCTATGTACTGTGCATTTTTATTTCACCTTATTTCAGAACCATGTCCTTGTGGTACTAAAATGGATCTGTTAATTACATTTTTAAAATGTAATTTCCATGGGCATATTGGAAATGATCACATATGCCATCCAGTGGCCTAATTTATAAACCCAATCTCAGAATCTCTTAGGTTGTTTACTTTTTAGATTCTTTTGTAGTTATTTTATTTATTTAATCAAACAAATTACTTTCATTTAATTAAACTAATGTAATTGCTTCCTTAAATCGTTAATCTTATTAATTTAATTAAAGCTCTTTTAAATACACTTCGGTTGTTTACATTTTTGATTCTTACAAGTAATACTTGAGTAAATTTCCTTATGTATGAGGCTTTACCTGCCCTTTTCATCCAGAACACTGTCCCTAGCCTCTCTTCCAGAGGTCCATAGCCCACTCTTGCTGTAAAAGTAGCCTCCACAGGGCAGCCCTCCAGGACTCCCCATCCATACATCTTCCACCCCTAAGGGCCAGCATCAGCTGGGAGTGCTTGCGCTCTCTCTCTCTCTCTCTCTCTCTCTCTGTCTCTCAGTCTCTCTCTCTCTGTCTCTCAATCTCTCTGTCTCTCAGTCTCTCTCTGTCTCTCAGTCTCTCTCTCTGTCTCTCAGTCTCTCTGTGTCTCTCAGTCTCTCTCTCTCTGTCTCTCTCTCTCTGTCTCTCTCTCTCTCTCTCTGGCAGCACATATGCCCACTATGGTGACAAGTCCTTTCTCCCTCCAGGGATCCCCACGGGTAAAGAATCCATTGTGCAAGTCCATATTGAAATTTTGGATGAGAATGACAACGCCCCGGAGTTTGCCCAGCCCTACCATCCCAAAGTGTGCGAGAACGCTGGCCAGGGCAAGGTGAGTCTGGCTGCGGTGGGAGGGTGGGGCAGCGCCACCTACAGGCAGGCTGAGAGGCAGAACCGCCCATCCACCCGTCAGCTGGTGTTCACTGGGCTTAATGTCGCCTGAAACCTTGAGGACAGGTAACTATCTCCATTTCACAGCGGGAGAAACTGAAGCTCTGAGAAAATGCCCGGAGAGTAGATCAGGGGTGAAGGCTAGAAAGAGGGCTTTATGAAGACCAGTTAGGCTGACGTGGCAGGTGAGATGCAGCCACAGTTAGGTCTAAACCCCAAATCTCCATCACTAAACCCCAGGCCACCCCAACACCACTGACCGCCCTTTATCTTCCACACTGCAGCTGGTTCTGCAGATCTCAGCAACAGACAAGGACATAACGCCACAAAACGTGAAGTTCAAGTTTGCCCTGAGCTCGGAGGACAGCAACTTCACCCTCACGGATAACCACGGTGAGCACTGCAGCAGTCAGTCGGCTCCTAGCAGGGTCAGGGGCAGGTTATTTGAACCCTGGACCAGGATCAAGGACAAGGTCAACAGGTTGGGTGCAGGCACTCACTGGGATTTTCAAGTTACAGGGTATTTTGTACAAATCCTCCCAGGTCCTTTATACACTGTGTGCACTGGTCAGAAATGCCCCAGCCAAACCACCAAGCAAGCCCATATGGCCTGCCAGCGCCCACAGGATGCTCAAGTCAGCAGGGAGTACAGAACAAATGTGGGTGCAGGCAGTCAGCCTGCTGGTTCATGAACTAGCTATGGGCCCCTTTCCACTCTGGGGTCTCTGCATCTTGGCAAAACTGGCATGGAATCATTCCCAGAGTCAAAATCCCAAAGAGACAGTGAACCTTGTTTTATTCAGCCATCATGGGTACTTCCCCCCAGGTGGGCCCTGGACAGGATCTGATCTACCAATCATAGCCCAGAGAATCCTATTATTTCAGTGGCCGGTTAGAGTTTCCATTGAGTGTGCGCACACGAGAGGGCTGATGCTCAGTTAATTTAATCCTGACCACAAGTAAACCGGCTTCCATGACTTCTGCAACTTCCCCAGCAAAAGCAAGAAAGTACCTCCTTGGGTTTGAATTCCCATGGTCGCCAGTTGGAGCAACTGTGGTCAATGAGGATCTTTGTATTGAAACAGGCCATTACCACCTTCGAGAAAAGATAGGGTGAGGTCCCTGAAAGTAGGGAGCAGACCCGAGGGATCAGCCAAAGACCCCAGGATGGTGAGGTGTCCGTGATGTGTTGACAGCCAATGACAGACCATTCAACACTTGGCTGTCTTCACTACCAAGTGATGTGGCCAAAATGCCTGTCGCCCATCCCCAGTGCCTGCCTCGATGCACCCGATGGGGGGAAGGGCCAGCAATGGGGTAGAATGCTTAAGTGCCATCTCAAAGACACAAAGTGCCACCAAGAAGCCAGCTGTTGGGACCAGGCCTATCAGCTGTCCACAGAAACAGAGAGCAAGGGTGTGACCTTCAGGCCAAGCCATTCTTGGAGTTTGGGTCAAAACAACTTCCAGAATATCCCGCTCTGTGGAGGAAGAGGCCTGCTCTCAAATGGCCGAAACATGAGGCAAGGGGTACCAAAGGCAGAGAAGCAGCCCAGGCCGAGTATAGGCAGGTGCAGTCACGGGGGGCTCCCTGGAGGAGGCACATTCTCCTATCTGTGTGGCCAAGGCTCGGGGAGGGGGAGGCAGGCACTCCTGACACAGCCTGATTCCATGGCCTCGTTGTTTCCAGATAACACGGCCAACATCACAGTCAAGTACGGGCAGTTCGACCGCGAGCGCGCCAAGGTGCACTTCCTGCCCGTGCTCATCTCTGACAACGGGAGGCCGAGCCTCACGGGCACCAGCACGCTGACCGTGACCGTGTGCAAGTGCAACGAGCGTGGCGAGTTCACCTTCTGCGAGGATTTGGCCGCCCAGGTGGGCGTCAGCATCCAGGTGCTGGTGGCCATCTTTCTCTGCATTCTCACCATCACAGGTCAGTGCCAGGTGCAGCTGGGGGCAGGGGACACTCGGGGAGCTTCACAGGAATAGATGGGACCAGGGAGCCAGAGCCCATCCTGCCTCCAGCCTGCAGGCAACCCTGGGCCTCAGAGCTCCAGGTGTAGGACACAGGGCTGGAGCTCCACCAGCAGGGGTGCCTAAGCATGTGCTTGGGCAGGGGAGTGGCGGGCGGGGCTCAAGGCCCCTCCCCACTCAGCAGGCCCAGCTCTGCTTTAAAATAGCTTTTATGGGGGCCAGTAGATGGCATGGTGGTTAAGGCACTGGACTCCCACAGAGCTGATGGAGGTTCAAGTCCCAGTTCTAGTGGGCTTGAAAGTCTTGCCAGGCGCATAGGCATGCATGCTCAAAGTCCCAAGAGGAGAATGGACGAGAAGGAACTGTAGTGTGGCCATCCCCCCAGAGGTTGATTTCTCACCTTCCCTCTTGTCATCTTTCTCTGGAAAGCATACCCACCCCCATGACCAAAACCTTTTAAAAAAAACAAAATAGCTTTCACTAGGAGCTCTCTGAAAAGTTGATGAAAAATGCATATTATGAAAAAGTATTTATAGATTGCAAAAAATTCTTGCATCAAAATAAATTTACGCATTAATTCCATATTTCTGTGAATTTTTGAAATTCCCTCCTCTCCAACACTCACTCATTCAGTTTCTATATTTTGAGCACTTGGTGCGTGCCAGGCACCATTCTGGACATCTATTTACATCAAACCTGTTTCTGAAGAAAAAATAATCCAGTTTTAAGATGGAAAGTTTAACAACCATCAGTTTAAATTGTCTCCTAGGTTTTCTTTCCTTTTATAGAATTCCTCCAGCCTCAGTCTCTCCTGTTTGTTTGATTGTTTGGACTTCTACAACTTTAAGAACATGTTAGACCTGGCTTCAGTTTAGGGTCCCCAGGAGCCAGGCCGTGGGACAAGGATCAGGGTGCATCTAGTTTATTTGGGAGGTGCTCCCTGAAACCTCATAACGAAGCAGGGCCAGAGTGAGGCAGGGAAGAGTGAGTTAGCACACATCCACTACCGTGGGTAACTGGGACTCCCCCCCACAGGTGGCCAGCAGGCCGTGTGGAGCTGCACCTGGGGTCCTCCCACCCTGGGGAGAGGAATGTGTGTTTTTCCCGTCAGCTGATGGTTGAGGGCTCCTCCCAGGGTGCAATTTCTCATGCATTTCACCTGCCATGGGATAAGGCAGGGGCTGACCTGCCAGAAGAAGCCCTCAGGTGATGCACTTCAAGGACTCCTCCCCACAGAATCTGCTCCAGGTCCTTCCTGCCCGCAGTTCCCTGAGAGGTACCCCATTTCAGGCTTCTGTGACAGCGAGTCCAGATTCAGATTTCCCTTTAATAAAAACTAGTGATCCTGATCATGACGGCAACCCCACCACACAACCTTGCATTTAGCCTCATTCTCACACTCCCAGAATAAACAGAGCAGAGAAGTCACCATTTCGATTTTACAGATAAGGAAACCGAGGTCAGGAGGGTGCCTCCCTGGGTGACCCAGCTTTTCTTAAGTGTTTAAGTGTGCTCAGTAACTCCAGGCTGGAAGGCAGAGGCTGGGGATGGTCTGAGCCTCGTTCAGGGACTCTCTGTACTACACTGTCGCCCCTTCTTCAGGGGTCAGGGATCGGAGACCCTCCCACTCCGGCACCCTTCAGAGCTCTGAGCCAGGTGAATATCTACACCCACCCATCCCCCAGCTCAGGGTTTAGGACAGCCGGGTCAGGACCAAGAGTAGGGGTGCACTCTGTCCCATGGGGTGGGATGGACCCACCAACAGGCTAGATCCAGACAAACCTCTGGTAGGCCCAGGCCGAGAGGTACCTGTGGGGAGCGGGGCTGGCGTAGGAAGTCCAGGGAGGAGGGGCTGGGAGCTGGGGGTAGGTAGGGTGGGTGGGGGCGTCCCGGGGGCCCTGTCTGACCTGACCACCTGTCGCTCACGTGCCGCTCCTCTGTCGCTCTGGCGGCCGCAGTGATCACGCTGCTCATCTTCCTGCGCCGGCGGCTCCCCAAGCACGCCCGCGCGGCC